GAACAAAACTTTATTATATAAAAAATAATTCAATTAATATAAATTTAAAAACCCTTAGATCTGTGAAGTAGTTTGGCGACTTTCACGGTCAGAAATATCTCTCATTATACGTGAGGTTTGTGATAAACTCTTGGATAGCTACAGTGAAAATAACGAAGATCTTGCCAAATCACTGCACCTCCTGGGTGAAATATGGTCAAAAAAAACTAATAAACAATCCAACATGTGACTTCTTTTTGACCTCTAAATTATTTAATCTTGCATTATTTCATTTACCTAATTAGTTTACATTTCGCCAATTATCATTTTTTTTTTACATGGTTGATTTTGTTCCAGAAATTAATAATAATATGTACAAAACACAACTTTTGTCTAGTTCCAATTCCAATAAAAGCCAATTTATCGGTCAAGCCTAACTCACCTCAAACTTACATATTATCATTCAAAGGTATCGTGGATTCGTGTCCAAATATATCAGTATTACTATATATTATCTCTTCATTTTATTAAAAATGAATCATGTATTCTTAGACTATATGTTAATAAAAATTACATATAAACCATTAAACTTATTATAATTGCTAAATATGTCTGGTTTTGGTATCACTATTATTCTTGACAAAAAAGATAGAACATTACCCAAACCTATTAATAATTGCCCTGGATATAATTTGAAGTATATTGAGTCATATATCAGAAATTATTTTGGGTATTATACTGATCCATTCAAACAACTCTTTGATAGTGAAAGATTATATGACAAGTTGTCTATCACGAAACAGGGTGAAAATCCCAACCAATGGGCTGTACGGGTTAGAGTCAACCTTCAATATTTATTAAGCGAGAAAAAATATGGTGTATACCATAGATGTTGCTTATTCGCTTCATTTGGTAAAGAAAAGCTAATCAATTTTGACTACTATCGACCTAGTATCCATAGAAGTCGAATGGCAATCTGTCTGGGTTGTATGAAGCTTACTCAGGTTAATAATGTGAAGCCTAGGAAATCATTCCACTATGGTTGACAAAGATTTGTGGAAATTGTCAAACCTAATTGTTAGCTTTTATCTTTTACAACCTTAATAGTTAAAGACCTGGTGCAGTATCATTGGAATCATGAATACGATAAGCCTAAAACTGATTTTGGGCATGCAAGAATTATACAAAAGACTTGGAGAAATTATAAGAAAAGACCCGAATCATTAACATCTCAAATCTGGAATGTTGTAAAAAATGATAACACCCCCAATGATAAGAAATTTTTAGGTCTAACTTCATACGAAGTGAAAAATCCTCAAACTCGAAATCAATTCAATCTCTGGATTGCTGAGATTATTGCAATGCATAGGAGAGATAACCCTGATATGCTTTGCTTTTTTCTTAATAGAAATTATGAAGAATATTATATTCCGTATGATTAGATAGGTGATAAGAAATACCAATTACACGATAGATTGCATAAGCATGTTGTAGATTTGCTAAGAGAACGAGGTCACAGAATAGTTAATCCCAGATCTTGGTATGAAATGATAAAATGGGCAGATAAACCAGATAAATATCTTAACAACAAAAATTTCATCAGAATCGAATAATACGTCGCAACTATTTTACATTGATAGTTGACGATCAATATTTTAATGGTTTTTTTTTTGTATATACCAGATTCCCATGTAAACTGAAAATAGTTACTAGATTTTTTGCAACATCAAACTAATTTGGCTAAGTTCATAGAGCATCTACATCGTGCAAATATGGTCATGGATTTTACCAAATTTGGAAAACGATTTCAGCCTCATTCAATTGATCTATTCATATATTAATATGTAGCAAACAAATTAACGTGATACTTCCACTACATATTAATATTGATAAAAAAAACAAGTTTTGTAATCGAGGATGTGCAAGTGAGCAGGAGAGACCGTTCTGGGAATACAAAATTAACAGGGAGGGACACAAAAATTTAACTCACGCAATTTGTTATTGACCAATTAAAATCGTGAATTTGATAACGTAGAAATGAATGTGTTTGATTCATTTTGTCAACAATCACTTCACCAACAATTATTTCGTTAACGAATTTAAGAAGTTGGAAGCAACCACGCGACGAACCATCGAAACAGTCTAATAAATTAAATCGTACCACTCGAAAATGTATTTAAAGGGTTGGTTTTCGACTTGGTTGAAGAATAACTCTCTTCCTAACTCTTCTCTTGACCATATCTCTCGACATAATCAAAATAACCCTAACATAACGAATGTCAATGAAATGATCGCAAGCGCGACCAATTTAAGATACACGATCAAGAGGAAACATGAACGATGTATGAAAAAATCAAACAAATTTATTTAACAAAACAAAATTTACAACTCAAAAAAATTTTTTTGCGACATAAACAATCGAAAAAAATGACCAATTCAAAAACTTTGCAACGGCACATTCATTCATCGACCAATTGTGATTTTTATTACGCGACGACCGTATTTACTTAATCATAAACTTTAGTACTAGCATAATTTTTGTTTGTTGGTATATATATAGATAGACTACTTTGTTTTGCGACATAAACAATCGAAAAAAATGACCAATTCAAAAACTTTGCAACGGCACATTCATTCATTGACCAATTGTGATTTTTTATTACACGACGACCGTATTTACTTAAATCATACACTTTAGTACTAGCTTAATTTTTGTTTGTTGTATATATATAGATAGACTACTTTGTTTGCGACATAAACAAACAATTTAATTTTTTTTTATTATTATTTATACGTTATTATTAGTTATTATTGCACTCATTCGGCTATTGATTTATTTTTGGAGTTAGTTGATCAAAGGGTTAAACCGCAGTAAACAAAAGAAAAGAAACCTCTCCAATAGATGGACGTGGTAGATAAAAAAATAAAAAAATAAAATCAAAAAAGTAAGGAAAGATCAAAAAAAATTTTTTAACATCAGACAAACGAATAGTGAAAAATAATTAGATTGTTAGTAATAATATGTGTAAATTATTAGTAATAAAATAAATAAAAATAATTGTATAATGTCAATCATTTCAAGGAGTAAAAAAAAAAAATTTTTTTAACTATAGTGCAAGTCACTTAGTCACTGAACTTTTTATTGGCTGTGTAGATCCTATATCCTCTCCAAAAATGGAAATGTATGAC